AATGAAATTCTATTCTTTCCTACCTCCCTTCATGTTTATTGTGAGTTAGAAACCACATATCAGGGAGAACATTTGACCTTTGTATTTTGGGGGATATTGGCTTATTTCACTTAGATAGTCTCCAGTTCCATCCATTTACTTGCAAAAGTCATAATTCCATTTTTCCTATGGCTGAGTAGTATACCATTGTGTATATACACCACATTTTCTTTATTACTTAATTAGTTGAAGGACACCTAGGCTGCTTCCATATCTTGGCTATTGTGAATAAATCTGCTATAAACATTGATGAAGCTATGTAAATGCCATTTATAAGTCCCTTGGGTATGAACTGAGGAGTGAGATAATTTGGTCAAGTTGTGGTTCTATTTCAAGTTTTCTAAGGAACCTGCATAATGCTTTTCAGAAAGGTTGTACCAGTTGCTGTCCCAACAGCAATGTATGAGTGCTTTTTTTCCCAACATCCTCACGAACATTTTTTATTGCATCTATTCTTCATGATTGCCATCCTGATTAGAGTGAGACAAAATCTCAGTGTAGTTTTCATTTGCAATTCCCTAACTGCTAGAGATGTTGAATATGTTTTCATAATTTTGACAGTCCCAGATCTTAGGATAATCAAAGTGCCATTCTAAGGCCTGTAAACTTTCATACTTAGAAATGAAACTCAACTCACGATTGCTTGGTACTTTTCAACTCTATCACAATTTGTAATTAAATAGAAACAGAATTAAAAATCAAGCAATTATGGTTTTTTTGCATACATTTTTCCATCTAATATATTTCATATTTATGAAAGTGATAATATAATAATTGAAATACATAAATTACATTTCTGATTAATAGATTATTTTAATATTAATTAAAAGTGAATGTTTGCATTATCAACTAATTAAAATTCATAAATTTTAATATATTAAATATTAATCATTATTTTCTCCTTTCTTTCTTTCTTGTTTCCTTCCTTCTTTCCTCTACATATGAGCATAGGCAATGTAGGCCCACTTGTGATTTTCTGTAGTTTTAATAAAAAAATTATTTCTCGACCCTCACATGGTACTCTCAACTGCAATGACTGTTAATTTTCTGCAGATCA